TTAAACTGATCTGCTATATGTGAAGAAATATACCTAAATATCTCTGATACTATCAGAACTTTCGCCCACAAAGGGGGATAAACTGCATTGGAGTGCACTAGTTCCCAGTGGGATCGGTGAACACAATTATATTCTTACTATCAGATCTCTTGGCAACCGTTCAAAATTTTATCTGATTCGTGATAAAAATAAATAAACGCGATTTTCCAATATGAGAGTAATCAGAATGCATTTCAAGTAATGTCGATTGACGTCGTGATTTACCATCACTCATTGGACAGGAGCCGAATGAACCAGCAGTCACAGCAGAAACGAATAACTAAAACTTGAGTAGACAGCCTTGAACAGCCTTAGGCTCAAAAGGGATTAGATTTGCGGATCAGTAGAATGTAATCCGAGTTCCCAATGAGTGCTTTAGAGAGGAGCGACCCACCTCCCCTGTAAAAACTGTAGCTTTTGAAACAAATACCACATGTTCTGGCTCTTCCGGGTCATTGTGGCTACGCCGGTCTAAAAGGCAGGGCTTCACCACCTGCTACCGAATGTCACGAATTGAAATACTTGTCTGGATTTGGGAATGTAACTTAACACAACTAAGCACAGGCGTCTACGACTTCCAAGACGTCCGTACACGCACTTCCATTCCTTCGATTACAGGATCATTTTGCTGTAACCCTTGGTAATTGGGGCTGGGTGTTGGAGTGATGCTAACACCCGCAACATCCTATGTCACTCATGTCTAGTCCTAGCACAACACCAGCTAGAACGTTTTCATGTGCACTTTCCTTAAAAAGCATCGGTTGTCGTTTTTGTAACAAGTCGAACATTCTGTTGTCAAAGCAAAAGCATATATGTGTGCAGTTTTGTTGGATGATGTGTGTCCTCTCAATCTGCTTTTTTCTACTTGTAGTCGACCTCCGTTCTGACGGATGAACGAAACAGCTTTCTCTGCGTAGAGGTGTCCGCGATCTGTTGGGATCCACAATACCCCAAGATTGCTCGTCGTTGGTTTCTGGCACTATTTACACTAATTCACTGGCATGTGTTTTATGACGCTTTTTATCGGGTCAAGGTCAACCTTGACTCGAATTATTGTACACTCTTGACAACTCACTCCGCACGTGGCTGATGTGATTAAAGCTCTCGACACGAGCTCTGGCCTTGTTCTCGTATTAGCGTGATAAGATTGGTGCTAGCGTCAACAGATGTGGTACCGTTATTTGAGTGGTTGCGGGCAGACGTAACACAGCCAACTTAAATAAGCTCCACACCAAGTGACATTTCCGTTTCACACAAGTGCTATCATTGGATGGTCTTGTAACAATTACATGACCTAGCTTTGACTAAGGTGTAAATACATATCAGATTGCTTATGTTAATACCCATTTTGAAATAAAGCAAGCATAGAAACAGCCCGAAGAATACACTTACAGGGGTATTGTGAACCCTGCTTTCGCAGATCACCAGTGAAAGACTTTGTTATTGATTGAAACGCACAGTTGTCGGATTTTTTCAAATATTTTGCCTACCACCGGGTGCAAGCCGTAAGGCTCTTTTAGTGCCCGTACTTTGTTTTTGCAGTGTTTGAAATGCACAAAGAATATGGCCACCCAGATAAACCGCTAAGCTTTCAAATATTTTATTTTCTCAAACCATGGATCGAGCAGCATTGACAACCTTTGCTAAAAATGTAGCTTTCCTTTTAATCATCATTTTACAGAAACCACCAATATGCCTCAGGATTTAACTTTACATTTTTATTTAAATTTTTTGTAAACTCAAAAAAAAGATTTGAGAAGGCGTTGTTACTAATCCAATTGCTTCGGGAACTGCAAATAAACGGACAGTCGTAAAGCTAAGTCGGAGAAAATAGGCTGGCTCCATTAGCAATACTCGTGACATTTATTGTTTGTTTGTGTCTGCAGAGAAAGGAACACAACCTGCCAGCTCTCATGATTGCCATAATTGTCGACCGGAAGTGAGCTGATGCGGACAATCATTTCCCTCGGGGTTACTTTGAATTTGTGAACATTAAAGACACTGGCGTCGGTAATTGCAACCAAAATGGATGATTGTGGAAGGGGCATTGTCAAATCAACCGAAAGATGACAGGATAGCGGAAGAGCAGGTCTAATGCCTCCTTGATGGTTAAAAAACCCCTATTCTCCTCTCCAGAAACACTAATCCGAGCATAACGCTGAAACAATCTGGCCGTCATTTCCTTCATTCTAAACTTCTCGTCATACCACACGGATAATTTTTTTGACATTTTAAAGCCTCATTAAGGATTAAGTTAGATAGATTTAAGTCTGTGAGCATATGTAAGGGAACTCTTACCACACCGTTTTACATTCAACAGAGCACATAGACACGTTGGTATATTTTTCAAAGTAATTCCTTGTAAAAGAGGTGCGTCATGAAGTAGGACAATGTAATTTGGTTTGAAAATACGCAGTGCTCAAAACAAAGAATGATTCAAAAGAAAACTACTTTTGTCTTAAAATGGTCCTTTATAAAACAATGAAGTAGAAGGAATATCAACATCATGGCAGCTAAATTTCCAATTCGTAAGGTAAAGCCGTATAATTCTTTATGCCACTGAAGTTAAATAAGGCAACTTATTGTAGTGAATCGTGTTGATTC